ATTTTGGGTTAAAATTCCCCAATTTTGGGGCCAGTTCACCCCTTTTTGGTGCCAAAATTCACTTTTAAAGCTGCCAACCCCACCTTTTTTGGGACCAAACTCCCGATTTTTGGGGCCAAATCCCTTCTTTTCCTGGATCCATCTCCCTTCCTCCATCCAGCCCCATTCTGGGTTAAAATTCCCCAATTTTGGGTTAAAATTCCCCAATTTTGGACCACCTCGCCGCTTTTTGGGTGCCAAAATTCACTTTTCCAGGTGCCAACCCCACCCTTTTTTGGGACCAAACTCCCGATATTTTTGGGGCCAAATCCCTCCTTTTTCTGGATCCATCTCCCCTCCTCCATCCGGCCCCATTCTGGGTTAAAATTCCCCAGTTTTGGGTTAAAATTCCACAACTTTGGGTTAAAATTCCCCAATTTTGGGTTAAAATTCCGCAATTTTGGGGCCAGTTCACCCCTTTTTGGTGCCAAAATTCACTTTTCCAGGTGCCAACCCCACCCTTTTTTGGGACCAAACTCCCGATTTTTTTGGGCCAAATCCCTCCCTTTTCTGGATCCATCTCCCCTCCTCCATCCGGCCCCATTCTGGGTTAAAATTCCCCAATTTTGGGCTAAAATTCCCCAATTTTGGGTTAAAATTCCCCAATTTTGGACCACCTCGCCGCTTCTTGGGTGCCAAAATTCACTTTTCCAGGTGCCAACCCCACCCTTTTTTGGGACCAAACTCCCGATTTTTGGGGCCAAATCCCTCCTTTCTCTGGATCCATCTCCCCTCCTCCATCCGGCCCCATTCTGGGTTAAAATTCCCCAATTTTGGGTTAAAATTCCCCAATTTTGGGGTCCCCCCCCCCATTCCCATCCCGGTACCTGAAGGGGGGCGCGGGGGCGGGGCCGGCGCGCGCTGCCCTGGCCACGCCCCCCGGCGCGCGCTGCCGCAGGGGGCGTGGCGGCGCAGGGGGCGTGGCTTGGTGAAAGGGGCGTGGTCTAAACGCCGCCTGTGTCCTATGGGGCGTTGCTATGCTAATAAATGGGTGTGGTTATGTAAATGAGCGTGCCTTTTAAAGCCCCGCCCCCTCGGCGCCTTCCAAACCCAGGGGTGCGCGCGCCCAGGTTTGAACGGATCTAAAAGAAAAATAAAAAATATTAGAGGGGAAAAATCCATCGTTTCTGTGGGAAATCGATGTTTTTGCATGGAAATGGGAGTTTTGGGGAAAAAAATCCCACTCTTTCAGTCGAAAAATCAGTATTTTTGCGGGGAAAATAGGAATTTTGGGGAATAAAGTCCATCGATTCAGTGGGAAAATCAGTATTTTTGCAGGGGAAATGGGAGTTTTGGGGGAAAAAATCCATACTTTCAGTGAAAAATAAGTATTTTTGTATGGAAGATGGGAGTTTTGGGAAAAACATCCATACTTTCACTAAAAAATCAGTATTTTTATAGGGAAAATGGGAATTTTGGGGCAAAATCCATACTTTCAGTGAGACATTAGTATTTTGGCATGGAAAATGAGAGTTTTGGGGAAAAATTCCTATACTTTCAGTGGAAAAATCAGTATTTTTGCAGGGAAAATAGGAATTTTGGGGAGGAAAGTCCATCAATTCAGGGGGAAAATTAGTATTTTTGCAGGGAAAATGGGAATTTAGGGGAAAACATACTTTCAGTGGAAAAAAATCAATATTTTTGCAGGGAAAATGGGAATTTAGGGGGGGAAATACATACTTTCAGTGGAAAAATTTGTATTTTTGCAGGGAAAATTGGAGTTTGGGACTGAGACCTTCTGGATTTATAGGAAAAAATCAAAAATTTGAAAGTGAAAATCCACCTTTTTAGTGGGAAATCGGTATTTTTGCAGGGAAAATGGGAATTTTGGGGCAAAACAGAGAGTTTTGGCCAAGCTGAAAAGTTATTTGGGGGAGGAGAGAGTCATTTCAGGGAAAACCTGGTGATTTTAGGGGATATAGACAATTTTGCCATGGAAAAAGGGACATTTTAGGGGAAATTTGGAAGCCCATGAGAGGTGGAAATGGCGCCTGTGAGGGAAAAATTGAGTTTTTGAGGGGAAAATGGGAGGAAATGGAGCCCATGAGGTAAAAATGAGGAAAATTGAGCCCTTGAGGGCAAAATGGGAGGAAATGGAGCCCGTGAGGGGAAATTGGGGCGAAATGGAGAATTTGAGGTAAAAATGGGGAGAAATTGAACCTTTGATGGGAAAATGGAGCCTTTGAGGGGAAAATGGAGGGGAAATGGAATCCATGAGGGGAAAATTGTGGGAAAATGGAGCTCCTGAGGGGAAAATGGAGGGAAATGGAGCCTGTGAGGGGAAAATGGGGGAAATTGAGATTGTGAGGGAAAAATGTGGGGGAAATGGAGCCCTTGATGGGAAAATGGGTGAAATTGAGCCTGTGAGGGGAAAATGGAGTTTTAGAGGGGAAAATTAGGAGAAATTGAGCCCTTGAGGGGAAAATGGAGGGAAATGGTGTTTGTGAGGGGAAAATGGGGAGAAATTGAGATCTTGAGGGAAAAATGTGGGGGAAATGGAACCCTTGATGGGAAAATGGGTGAAATGGAGCTGGTGAGGTAAAAATGGAGAGAAACGGAGGCCATGAGTTAAAAATGGGGGGTAAAAAGAGCCCCTGAGGGGAAAATGGGGCCCTTGAGAGGAAAATGGAGGGAAATGGAGCCTGTGAGGGGAAAATTGGGGAAATGGTGTTTGTGAGGGGAAAACAGGGAGAAATTGAGGTCTTGAGGGGAAAATGTGGGGAAAATGGAGCCCTTGAGGAGAAAATGGAGGGAAATGTAATTCATGAGGGGAAAAAGGGGGCAAATGGAACCCGTGAGGAGAAAATTGTGGGGAAATGGAGCTCCTGAGGAGAAAGTGGGAGAAATGGAGCCCGCCTGGGATGCTGGATCAGGTGTCCAGGTGGGAATACAAGAGGAATATTTGGATAACAATGAATTATTATCCAGAACGCTCTTTATTTGTCCAGCACTAATAAGCTGTTGCTAACAACGTTTGTATTTCATTTGATCGCAGGTTATCTCCATTTTGCGGCTAATTGGCTTTACACTTATCAATTTCTTGTTAGCATCATACTTACCTAAAGTTATCCACCTGGGGAGAATTTTCTTATTTTTTTTCTCTGTTCATCACTAAGTACTTGGTTCACCGTATAATACCCATTAATTTTAAACCAAAAAGTTATTTATATCGGGATATATAGAGATGAAAGTTGTATTTAGGTTATACAGATATAAAAAGCTATGATTTAGGTTATATAGGTATTGGATTACACAAATACGTAAAAAATTATATAGATATACGGAATTATATAGATATGTGCCTGCATTATATAGAGATAAATAGTTATATAGATTGCATAGATGCATAGATATACTCTGTAAATGTATAACTTTATCTTTTATTTCTCTGTATACGTATAGATACAGAAAACTATATTACGTAAGCAACGCATATCGGTACAACATATATTGATATATATTGTGTCAATGCCAATATAACTTATGTTATATTAATTTTAAATTGTAGAGGTAGGCCAGGTTATACTAGCATCTTATAACGCAAAGTATATGAATGCCTTTTAGTTTTATCGAAGGTTAAACAGGCATTAATGAATAATAATATTGTGGAAAATATATCTATTGAAACAGCATGCGATCATCTTTAAGTTATTGTTTACCGTTCCACGTTAATTTATAATCTTGGTGCCATAGAACCATTCTAACGGGGGAAAACCTCGAGGAATAAATCTTGTCTCGAGGTTTTTCGTCCCAAGATCACCAAGCAACGCGATTTTTACCCAAAATCCCCCAATTTGCTTTGCTCCCACGGCGTCCCCCCGTTCCCATGGCGAAGGGGCGGCCCATTCCACCCTTCCCTCCCTCCACACTTGGTACATTCCATGCAAATGAGCCCGCTCGCGCCGCCACCCCTGCGTTCAAAATGACAACCAATAGGAAGCGAGAAGGCGGGGTTGCGGTAATGATTGACAGCTCTCAGAGCCTATCGCGAGGCGCGGCGCCCCAAAGCCGCCAAGGAAAACCACCGGCCTATCAGCGGCGAGGAGGCGGGATTTCGGCGATGATTGACAGCGCCCGGAGCCAATCGGGAGGCGCGGCGCCCCGTCCCTCAGCGGCCGCCGCAGCCGCCGCTTTCCCGCCCTGCGCCCCGAGACCCCCCCGGGACCCCCAAAACCTTCCCGGGACCCCCAAAACCTTCCCGGGACCCTCCCGGGACCACCATGGGCTTCCTGAAGCTCATCGAGATCGAGAACTTCAAGTCCTACAAGGGCCGCCAGATCATCGGGCCCTTCCGCCGCTTCACCGCCATCATCGGCCCCAATGGCTCCGGTGAGTGCCGGGGGGGTTCAAGGAGCCGCTCCCGTGATGGTCTCTGAGGGGGGACACCGAGTTCTTTTACAGCGCCCCGCTTCCTGGGCTCCGTCCTAAATATTGGGGTCCTCCCCCATTTCGTGGGGGTCTCTTTTAAGTTTTATTGGGGTCCCCAATAATTCTCCACAGCACTCCCTCAGCGCCCCCCACTCGCCTCCCTCTTCTTCCCCTGGGGTCTCCCCCATTCCTGGGGATCCCTCCTCTTCCTCTGGGGTCACCCCCCCATTCCATGGGGTCCTTCTAAGCCTTATTGGGGTCCCCCCCATTCCATGGGGGTCTCTTTTAAGTTTTATTGGGGTCCCCAATAATTCTCCACAGCATTCCCTCAGCGCCCCCCACTCGCCTCCCTCCTCTTCCCCTGGGGTCCCCCCCATTCCTGGGGGTCCCTCCTCTTCCCCTGGGGTCCCCCCCATTCCTGGGGGTCCCTCCTCTTCCTCTGGGGTCCCTCCCATTCCTTGGGGTCCCTCCTGAACTTTGGGGTCCCCAATAATTCTCCACAGCCCTCCCTCACCCCTTCCTTGCCTCCCTCCTCTTCCTCTGGGGTCCCCCCCCAATTCCTTGGGATCCCTCCTAAGCTTTCAGGTCCCCCCCATTCCATGGGGTCCCTCCTGAACTTTGGGGTCCCCCCCATTCCATGGGGTCCTTCTAAGCCTTATTGGGGTCCCCCCCATTCCTCCTAAGCTTTATTGGGGTCCCCAATAATTCTCCACAGCACTCCCTCAGCGCCCCCCACTCGCCTCCCTTCTCTTCCCCTGGGGTCTCCCCCCATTCTTGGGGGTCCCTCCTCTTCCTCTGGGGTCCCCCCCCACCATTCCATGGAGTTCTTCTAAGCCTTATTGGGGTCCCCCCCATTTCTTGGGGTCCCTCCTGAACTTTGGGGTCCCCCCATTCCCTGGGGTCCCCCCAATAATTCCTGGGTTCCCCCATTCCCTGGACTCCCCCCCTCAATTCTCTCAGTTCCCCCCATTCCCTGGACTCCCCCCCTCAATTCCCTCAGTTCCTCCCATTCTTTGGGGTCCTCCCCTCAATTCCCGGGGCTCCTTCCAACCCCCCATTCTTTG